CCCTCATTAAGCTCTCAGCTGGTGAGAATGCTCTGAAAGACAGCTCTGTGTGGCAAGCTGCCAGATGTTTTATTTCACCAAGTCGGCACATTTTTCACTCTGCCAGGCATATGTCAGCAAAGTGATAAAAGATGATTCAGTAGATGATGCCTCTTAGACTTGCAAAGAGCAACTAAAATGTCATAACATGGTTAGTGGTGTTAAATCATACACCTGTATATCTCCATTCGACCTGACGGAAACGTCTAAAAAACATAGAATAAAAAAACACTCTACAGTGATGGACAGAAGAGGTACACATACAAAGTGAGGGTGGAATCCATTATTTCTAGGTTTTGTTTTAAGATTAAGAATGATGAATGAAATTAATTAAAATCTGGACTCAAGATAGGAGATTTGGGTGCTACTCTATACTTAGAAAGGAGGGGTCACATGTGAGCAGAAAAATACAGCTCACAGAAAGACTAAAAAGAAAGAAAATTAGTGGAACATCTGTGTAACTCCACCCTCTTTTCACAGAGACTCACCAGGGTGCCAAAAGGACATTCAGACAACATTTGCAGAATTATTGTAAACACATGTTGCCGATGTTCGCAGTAAGAGCTTGTGAGGACTTGTGACAAGGCTGTTTGGTGTTGGATAGAGCTTAAAGGTGCTCCAGCTGTGCTGGGTCCCCAAACACTGGGTCATCTGTGACTCAGGATGGGCTTGTGTGCCAAGTATTAAAGCTCCTAAAAACCTTCTGTATTTCTCTATAAGAATAAATACCAATGACGAAATAAATAACACTCAAGTTAAAGCTTGGAAAAAAACACCCTTAGTTTAAAAAACTCTAGCTAATCTTCTTAATCAGGAATGTGTAGGTGAGGTTTGATTGACAGAGCTGAAAACACAAGCAATGAAACCTACAGATGTCATCATGCTTTGATTCAAATGGTGCTGAATCCCGTTTGGTGCAGAAATAGAAATGTCTTTTTTTGAGTCCTGTCAACTTCAAACCAGTGAGAAACGCAAGGACAAAAACAGAAATACAGAAATCTCTTGTGTAAAATAACTAAAAGGTTGGCAAAACAAAAATGCATGTTCAAGTAAAAAGCTGATTTTCAGACTTCTCCCAAAACATCCAGACTAAAAGAAATGAATCACAAAAAGTCTCTCACACAAAGACCTTCGAATGAGATCTTCTGTTTTTCCTCGCTGCCATCTACGCTTAGCTGTTAACCTCCGTTGAACCTGCCAGCTGTCCTCTCTCATTACCCATCGACCGACCTCCTTCCCACAAACAACACCCCGAGTGCCACGGAAAGAGACCCCACCGTTCGTCACTCGTCCCTTCCTCTCCTCCCTTGCTCCTGTCAGAATCAGAAACATCTGGAGGAGCCGGAAGAATTCGTGGAGCTGCATCGACGGCCCCCTCCTGTGTCGAAGGGAATGTCCAGACCTGTGTCATCTGCCTCATGGTTGAGCGGACACAGTGCGGCACGGCTGAGTGTGATGGGATGTGGCAGAGCTGCAGAGGCGCTCGGTCGGACTGTGAACAATTACGGGGATGTGGGAGCAACGGAGAGAAGGGCTGCTCTCACAGCTGTCACCCACACACAGGGGACTGTCAGGAGATGGAGATCTGTCAGATCATGTTTCATGATTTTGTTGCCCACCATTAATTATGGATTGAGTTATGAGCCCATGGAGAAGTGAGTGATGCAAGAGCAGACACCGACTTCAGGCCTGACGAAATGGCTAGACCGATTATGATAATGGTCATATCAGTTCAAAAGGTGGATACAAACATTTGGCGCAAATTTGGATTTCTGCTAGCAAGTTAAAAGATATTCAAAGACATCTGAAGACACTCAAGAGCAGCAACATAAATCTTAAAAGATAAGCCAGAAAGTAGGGTTCACTCCAAAAAGCTACATACTTGGACTCATCCATTTTGAAAAATCTGTCTTTGCTCATCAAATTATCACTTTAGATAATAGGATTCCACACTCTGGTGTTTACAAAACAGAAGAAATACTAAATGGTAGGTTTTACTTCTCGTTTCAGCCAACAGTACTTTTTAGGAGTGCATGTTTATTTACCATAAGGTGCCTGACTGAGTATGTTGTTTTCCCGCTGGAAGATGTGACGTTTTTGACAGGTTCTTCCTCTTTTTCAAACACTTCTTCCTGAAAACATTTGGCCAGGAAGTTCCCAGAGACCATTGGCACAATGGCCCAAACTATGTGACGAGGAGCAATAAAGCTAAATTATAAGCCTGACAGTTTGAGTGTTTGAAGTCTCACACTTTTGTGAACGTCTAAAACCAGCTGCTGTTTAGCAACACACACACACACACTCCTTTAACACAGTGCCAGGGGGAAGATGATGTCATTAGCAGGGTACATTTTCCCCTCTAATTAGAAACTCGAGCTTCCCGCCATAACTTGGGGGTCTTAAAATGAAGCCATGCAACAAAACAAGGATTAAACAGAACAAGTGTTTGACGTGCCTCTTAATAGAAAATGTATTATCACAAAGTCTTAAAAGGGCTCTGCAGGAAAGCAAAACCATGCCTCAATGTGACTGTGGTGCAGCTTGAAGTGATGAGAAACACATAAGTTTGTGAACTAAAATCATGAAAAATCCTGCAGCTTCTGCTCGATCGCTGCATTCAGCACTGATGTGGCTCAAACGAATAAGATTATACACTTGTAGAGCCTCAAAAAACAGCGTCAAGTATAAACCAAAAGAGGGAGAAAATTGGAAAATAAAACACTAAGAAAAAATCCTGGTGTACTATTACATCCCAGTTTATTGTCTCAAAAGTCACAAAATCAATGTGATTCTGCAGGCTTTCTGAAGTGTTGCACCATCAACACAATCATCATCAATGTCCTGCTGGTACTACGAGGCGAGCAGGAAGGCAAAGACCCAAATTACATTTCATTTAGTCATGTTAATGATGTCAGGCCTCCTGTCAACACCCCAGACGGAGACTGCAGCGAGCAGCTCTACGCTGGGTGCCCCTGGGCTCTCTGCTCTGTTACGGGAGGAAGCATTCTCGTCTGCTCCGCTGGGATCAGCATCCAACACAGATGCAGCCGTATTTCAGCTGGAAAAATTAGCGCACTGCCACATGAATTTGGAGAGAAAAAAGGAGACTGTTTACGAGTCGTCTGCTTGACACTGTAATTTTGCAGGTAGGTATTCAGTCGGAGAGATGTTAGTATCCTGCGTTTAAACATGAACAATATGAAGGATTGATGGTGTTTATGACCTATGACTCACTGTTGCTTTCAGGCAGGGATGCATGCCAGGTCAGATTTGTGGGCTTAAACTTTCAAGAAAAACAAAAGTTGAATCAAGGAAAAGTAGACCTGAATCTACCTCCTAACAATTCCTTATGCCATGCATACACCACATTCATTTTACCAAGTTCCTTGAGGGGGATTACACCCAAAACTATGACAAAAGCAATGTGTTTATCTTGTATTAGTTCATCTTTTTAAGCCAACATTTTGTCAGTCACATTGACTCTGAAAGACCACCCCCCCTCTGGAAAGCTTCCTCACTGCCAGTTCATGATCTGCATCAAGAAAAGCATGAATTAAACCTCCTGCTGCTGCACGCCGGCCAAACCAACACTCACCTATGAATCTCAGGGTGAATGTGTTTATAAGGTATGTGTGGTCTGTTTAGTCTAGCTAAAAAAGTTTGTTTATGCTTCTGACCCCGCACTGATCAAGCCAACTCAGGACGCATGAGCTTTAAACATATGAATAGAGAGTTAGGGGAGCGATTGGGTCAAGGTGAAGTTGACCCTAGGGGTACATGATTGTCTCCTTGGAGGACACAGTCTTACCAGTCTTTTAAGTTTTAGAGTGAGTGTGTTGCAGTATGACCCCTCAGGTCTCCAACTTACTTTTGTTCTTTTGTAAGTTCTCAGGTAACACTGGCTTTATAATGAGTATGCTTGTTTTAATTCGCATAGCTGACTACAAAACGGAACATGTATTTGTCATGAATTAACTGACTGGTAGGAAAATGCTTAATTTAGTTCAAGCTTACAAAATGTTTCTTCCCTGATTAGATGTTTGGAAGCCAGAGCCTCATTTGTGCCGTTCCCCTGATTTCATCCAGATGTAAATAGTGTAGAGCAGAGTTAGGAAGGGATAAACCTGGTGCCTCAGGTCAACTGTATCTGCTTTAATCAGGGCTCAGTGGTCAGTCATCTCTCTCCCTCTCACCCCCTCCATACCATGCAGCTATTACTGACTGGACTTCAAGGCTGAGATAAACCAGAGAGCCTACATATAGGTTTACATGGCAGATGATGAATTGCTGTACTAAGTTCTCAAAAACTGTTTGGGGTTGACACATAAGCTTGGTCTGTTGTTTATGGATTATCCACCTACAAAAAGCTTGACATTCATCCCTCACAGACATACTGCCATACATCGGCCATAAACACACCATAAAGATCTCAGTCGTGACTCTAAAGAATATAAACTCAAGTAATCACGCAGTAAAATTTAAAATGTCAGACACGTGTACTCTTCTTTGGTGTACATATTTATCCAATTTAGGATTTAACTCATATTTAATAATAGTGATTTTATACCATGTAGCCTACCATTGGATCAATGACCAGTGAGTGCCACAGCTATTCTGTGCCACATAGTGTGCCACATATGGTCTTTTTTCAGTTACGAGGCTTTTGTTTTTTGTCCAGCAGTAGCTACAAAAATAATCCAGCTGTAAATATGATTCAGTTAATGCCTGATCAGCCCATGCCAGTCTTTCTCGTGTAAAGCTGTAAAACAACGCTGCCACATGTTAAAAACAGAACGAGAAGTCAAAATAACACTACTCGCAAAATCACCGCTCGTCTGAATCCATTCATTCCCGAATCGAACATGATCGGTACCCGGAAAACTTCACAAAATAAATCAATCTCGACTCACACATCTGCTTATAACGAAACCATTAAAAAATACAGTCAGCTCCTTGCTCACCTGTTTCGCTCAGTTTATCCACTCTGGTTGTTTTTCAAATCCTGGTAAAGGTGTGGAGATCCTCCCTGTGACAGACGGTCTGCTTCACCGTGGCGCTGCGCTCTGCGCTCTGCGCGGACAGCTGGCACACTGAAGGGACCGCTGCATGGCAGCAGCGCGATAAAGAGGGACTCCCGACCTCCCTACAGCGGAGGGGGAAGGGGCGAGGGGGGGCAGGTATGAGGCCGTGTAAATTGACTCCTGTGTAGCATGCAGGGAGCTGAGTGGAGCCGTAAGGGGGTCTGTGGATTAGGGCAAGAGTACAGTGTCAAATTTAACATAATAAGTTATTTAGCTTCATAAACATTATAGTATCCGCTATGTGTGAATGAAATAGGACATAGAGTACATGTTTTTTTATTAAAATGTAAGAAATACCTATTAATCCTTTGTAGAATTTGGGGTTTCTGTGTTGCTATATCCTTTAATTCGCCTATAGGGGTAGGCTACAGTTGGGGGAGGGTGTTCACTGGTACCGCTTATTTTCTGGGAGAAAACAAGAACGACTGAAGCAAACTTTAGAGGATGCCTGTAAGTGGTAGCTAGCCTTCTGAAAAGTTTACTTGCACTGAAAACAGTCTACAGCTCTGCTATCAGCTTTGTGAGGCTATTCTTAGGCACGGTGATGCAATGCAATGATTTGCTTTCACCAAACTAGCCTACAGCTGGTACAAGTATTTGATCAGAAACCAAAGTATTAGACAGATTGTGTCAACAAACTGGCAGTTTTAACTTCACTAATTGTTGACATATTAGAAACAAATGTGCTCTCAGTGTGTTAATACAGGTCTTGTGTGATGAGCAATGCCAACAACCAATAAGATGTGCTGAGATTGACATGTGACATGGGATGTGTATCTGACAATGAAGTTTTCTCCTGAAGTGAGAGTTCTGGCACAAGCACTGATGCCCCACCGTGCTTTATTCCTCCGTCATTATTTATAGCTTAGCAATTGGTGTGCAGGCCAGAATCGTTGACAACTCACACTAGTGTTATTTTTTATTTTATTTTCGAATTGATTATTAAATGAATTAGTTGCTATGCTTACTGAGTAGTTTATTCATTGGTTGTAGCTTGTTAACTAATTAGTTAATCCAGTGTATTGATTGATTGACTGCGCTTTAATCAGTATTGTTCTCCTGCTGCTGATTAATGAATCTTAACAGTGCACTTCACACATTATCTTAGATGACTTAGGTTTATCACACATGATGTGAGCAGCTTTACACCCTTTGTTGTTGATAAAGTCACATTTGATGCAGTTTGATTAAATGTTTGTTTATTTATTTATATATTCCTTTTCCCAAGCCTCGTAGTCCATTCACATGATTTATTTTGATGTGAGTTTTGTGATGTTTTTATTTCTTGTCCTCTACTTATTGTAGTCTTTCTGAATGAAAATGATTTAATAATTAGCTTTGGGGAATTCTCGATGAAATAACACCATAATGTCACCGTGCTGTTGTTCTCAGTACGTGATTGAAAGCACAGAATAAACAGCATATTTTGCAGTAGTATGTTGCTTGTTTTTCAACAGTATCCTCTCTCCTTCTGTGTTTTCTCTGCTCACCCTCCTCCCTTCATCCCCACACAGCTCAGCACGACTGGCTCAGAGAGGTCGGGAGAGAAAGGCTGAGATAAAGGAGTGATCCACACATTTCACACACACCTGTTTCTCATTCCCAAGCTCATCACTCTTGACATGGAAGACAGCCGATTGAGGAAGCACAGCGCACACAGAGCCACTGGAAATATTTTACCGAGAATATAAACACGCTCCAAAGCAACGACATGCTAAGGCTCACATGATACATACATAGTGCAGACATCATACACACACATGCACTCTTTTCCTCCTGCCATGACCCTGACGAACATTTCACACTTAACTGGCCAAACCTACTCCTGTGAAGCAGCTCTGTAGTTCACAGGAAAAGTGTCTAGATGGGAAGTTTGAAAATAGCAAGCATGCTCAGCAAAGCTTGAAAGAATACAGGTTTTAGAAAATAGATCAATGCACTCCTGTATTATGGCATTTCTCAAAATAGAAGTTTCCTGTTTCTGGAGAACTGAGAAGGCAGTCACGCTACATTTGGGGCACCTCCAGACTGGAGCCGTGCCTGTCCTCTGCCACATCTGGGTGAGGAAACACAATCTGCTGATCCCGTTCCCTGACCTCTGCCCTCACAGCCACGACTCAAGGAAGCCACACTTCCTGCTGAGCACTGTGTGCGAGGTGGCAAGCGACCTCAACCTCGTTTGACGCCATATTTGCCCGCCGGAGGACACTTCCTGTGTAGATAGTTCTGTCTCTCTCTGCTGCTATGTGGGTCAATGTAGCAGGAGGCTAATTCCTAGCATGATACCTGGTGCCAGTCAGCTGTTTAAGACCCTGTTAACTCGTGGGGTGATAATCCTGTAAAAGCTGTGAAAGATCACGTACTGAGAGGGTGAGGGAGACAACAGGGTTACACGCAGCATCCAAAAGGATCTGCAGTGTTTTAACTTATGAGATATTAGACTGGGTAAACATGCTGTAAAGAAAAGTCAATAATAACTGGAAAAGATAGCACTTTTGCAGTGTACATCAACCTTTTTTCAGGGCAAGTCTCTCTCAGTTCACATTTAAGAATGATATTTGTTAAAATGTTAATATCCTTTTCACGTGACTCACAAAAGCAGTTTATGACATATGGTATTAAGCAACAGAAGTTAACAACACTCCTCATGTATGTAGTCTGGCAAGAGATTGATGGGCAGAGCTGTGGCCATTTAAAATACTTTTTACATCTTCTTTTTGAAATAGCTCAGCATTTTCCATAAGCCTTCTTTAAAGCGGTTTCCTCAGGGACGAGGCTGAAGGCCCCTCCATGCAGCTCCTGTTTACAAATGTTATCTAACACCAGGGAATTGGATACCCACAAAAAATCAGGGAAATGTTAGAAGTGGGGTTGTCAGAGTTTTCATGTACTTGATGTCTTTCCATGATGGCTGGGCATCTTTCCAAAAAAATGACAGGTATGTATGCTTTAATCTCTAAATAATCTTTTTTTTTTTTGTTAATATGGATATTTCCCCGGTCTTTCTGTGTGGAGTTTGCATGTTCTCCCCGTGTCCGCGTGGGTTCTCTCCGGGTGCTCCGGCTTCCCACCATCCAAAGACATGCAGCCTAGGTTAATTGGTGTCTTCAAAATTGTCCTTAGGTGTGAATGTGAGTGTGAGTGGTTGTCTGTCTATGTGTGGCCCTGCGATGGACTGACAACCTGTCCAGGGTGTACCCCGCCTTTCACCCGATGTCAGCTGGGATTGGCTCCAGCCCCCCGCGACCCTGTACGCAGGATAAGCGGTCGACGATGGATGGATGGATGGATGGATGGATGGATGGATGGATATTTCCATTTAGGGACTAGGGGCTACAGGGTAGAACACACATGCACACATACATTTCCACATGTATATTAATAAGGATCGTCAACAGGAAATGTTTGAATTCTCTTGTACTATCTTTGTGAGGACTAATTTGAGATTTAGATATTGAGACTATTCCGAGCATGTTTGAGGGGTCAATACTTAATTTGAGAGCTATTTTAAGTGCAATGTGTAATTCCTGGTCACATGATCCATATTGGGGGCAGTATTGTGCAAGAACTGCATGTTTTACTAAATGCAGTGATGACACTGTTCAGGATTGTGTACAGTTAGACATGTGCAATAAACTTTGTCCAATGTCCTCAAAAATTGAATAGCTTTCAGTCTTGCCTCATCTCATAACAGTAATACTGTAATGTAAGTAATATAAGTGTTTACAATATAGTGAACCAATCAACATCAGTCTACTACTATGTCCATAATCTCATCAGTTATATAAAAAAGCGGGGCAAGAATAATCACATTTCTACCAAACTGCTGAGTCAATCAAAATAACACTGCTAATCTTCAAATGTGGCATCGGCCAATAGTGTAGCTTGCTTAGCTCAATTTCACCAAGATAGTAACAAGAAAACAGCCACATTCAGATTTCAGCATCAAACCGCATCTCATTACTCAGCTTTAGAGCTGTCTCCACAGTCTCTGTCTCCTCCGCTGCGTTATTTACATTTGTTTTGCTTCTTTTTATATCTCTTCTTTTCTTTGCCATCCTTTTGGTTCTATAACACTAACCGGGGGGCTGTAAGTTTCTTTCCTACCTTTGTAAGGCTCTTTGGTGTTGTGGTCAAGTTGCACGTTTGCACCATATAGACCCTGGTTTAAATCTCCATTTGGTGTCAGAAGTGGGATGACTTGTTTGAGGGGTTTGTGAGGGCCTGTGTGTGTGAATTGGAAAAATATATTTGAGCTGATTTTAAATATTTATCTTCAGTAGGAACCAGTGGGCATGGGGCCACAAATGATGAAGGCAGAAAGCAATTGTTGGTTTTGGTCTTTTCATGAGATTTGTTAAATAAGAAAAACATAGAATATCACAACACTGATCACTTGACTCACAGATAGTCTAGTCAAATTGTCCTCACTTTCAACAGATTCAAATTGGTCATCACAAAAGAGCACAGACACACACACACACACACATTCACACAAACACAAGCTTGAGGATTAATGACACTTCAAAGAGAGGAAGCTGTACTGTGGCCAGCTTCTTGCCCCAGTCCATCTTGGACCATTTGTTGGCATTTCTCTGTAGCTGATGACGGCCTTGTGAGCCATGTGGTGGCTATTGGGAAACACAGGGGTAATCGTCCCAGGTACCCTTTTATGTAGTAGCACTGTGCAGGTGAACTTTGACAATAAGGGGCCTGGGGTATTTAACTTGTTGTGGTATCGACTGCCTCAAACTTGACGGAATGAAAAATGCTTCTTGGGTTTTATTGTGAATGGAGTGAAAAGAGGAGGGTAATTATTTTTTCCTGTATAGGCATCGTTGTCTCTCCCGGGCACAATTTTTCCTTGTTTGTGTAAAGTGTAATTTGCTTTGAAGTTATTCTAACTGGCTAAGAATCTCCAGGGAGTGTCACCTATTTATGAAGTCACAGAGAAGAGGAAGTTAAGTGGATATTTCTCCTTACAAGGACTCTGACACTTTGGCACAGCTACCAAATCACTTGGTTAAAGCTGCACTA